TGTGGAATTATTTAAGAAACATTGTTATAATCATTTTCTTGAAAATTCTATGCAAGTCGAATAATTTGTTTTCTTTCTTTTATTGTAAGAATAAGAAAATTTAATCAAAACTTTACCAATTATTGCCATGTATTGCCATTTGTATGTTTGAATGATTGAATTGTGTATATACTAGTAATATATATTGTATTTTAATGTATGAATCGAATGTATGAATGTTAAAAGTATACATGTATTTTGTTTGAGGGCCTCAATGAAAATTAGACTACTTCTAATTGAGTTACCCTCTTTAAATAAAGAATTTATTATTATTATTATTATTATTATAACCATTCGTGACACATCTCTGTCATCCCTACTATCGTTCACTAAAGCATCGTCATTTGATTTTGATGGACCAGCAATAAGTTGTGATTCAGGTTGGATTGGTCGGTCCGACATCTCTACTGGATCAGGGTTCGTTACTATCAGATCTCCTTCTGCCTCTACCTCAACCCTTACCCTTACGTAGATTTTGGTTGCATGACTGCGTTGTTTCCGAGAAACTCTACGTATCAACGAGAATTAAAAGGAATGATACAGTATTTATATAGAACCCGATGTTGACGTTATTGCTGGGAGCGTAGTAAGATCGCGATATGAACGTGGTATGATCGTAGTATGGTCGTGGTAAGAGCGTGTTATAATCGCAGTAGAAGCGTGGTTAGATCGTGTTGCAATCGGATAAATCGTGGTATTGTCGTAGTGAGGACGTGATGAGCGTAGAAAGATCGTGATAATCGTAGTGAGGTCGCAGAATAAGCGTGATGAGAACGTGGTATAATCGTAGCGGGTTGTAGAAGCGTAATGAGGACGTAGTAGCAACGTGATTGAAACGAAAATTTTCATTTTCATGCCGCTCATACTGCGAGCTCACCACGATCTGAAATTATTTTAGATCGCGGTGAGCGTGGTGCGATCGTGGTCTAGTGGGACTGTGGCTTAAGACATTCTATTATATCTTTTTCGAAATAAAAATATTCTTTTAAAAGTTTTCCAGGTTTGTAAAAAATAATAACTTTGGTTTTAGATAGATTGACCTCTAAACACCATTTTACAGTACAAAATTTGGATAAACCATCAAGTCGTTTTTGAAGACCTGCCTTTGAACTAGACAAAAAATAACAAGATCATCTGCATACATGAGGCAGTCAATTCAGCGACCATTTATATCAACAGCATCTGGGGTTTCATGGGTTTCATTAAATGCAATGTAAATCATTTATAAAAATCTTGAAAAGGTTGGGATTCAAAATATCCCCTTGCTTTACTCCAATTTGGGAACAAAAATTAGGAAAAATCACATTGTCTATTTTAACACATAATTCACTTTTATTGTACATATCTCTCAGGATTGCATGGAAATTACCACCTATATTATGTTTAATAGATAACTAATACTTTAAACCAGAATGAATTACTTTGGCTAACGCTTTTTTTTAAATCAACAAAGAAAGCATACAGTGTCACACCTTTCATACTTGTGCACTTATCCATTTATAGTTTTTAATACAAACATGTGATCCGATGTCCTACTTTTACTTGAAAAACCAATCTGACATGGATTTATTATATCATTTGTTTTTAAATACTTTTCTAGCCTTTTGGTTAGTATTGAATTGAACAGTTTTCCTGTACACATATCAATTGCAATACCTCTGTAGTATTCCGGTTTAGATGGACCCTCATGCTTTAAAAATTGGAAACATATATGCTGATGACCATTTTTTTTTTTATATATTCCTGTAGAAAATACTTGATTAAAAAGTTTTTGAAATAATGGAGCCAAAATACTAGCACCACTCTTCAATACTTCATTTGGGATTACATCTAAACCGACTGCCTTGTGATGTGATGTATGAACCAAAAAAATGATTAATAAATCCATACGAAATTTCAATGAGCAAACTATTTTTTCCATGATTTTGTAGTATAACGAAATCCGAGTTCTATATTTTAATTAGATTGAATTAATTATCGACACTTGAAAATGATATTTATTCAAAATGTGATTAAATCTTGATAATTATGTTACAAATTCTTAGGGGAATTAGACAGTTCTGTGCGCTTTCCATTGGTCAACGCATTGATCATGGAAAAGTCGTCCGCTTGGTCAGCTTGGTCAGGTAATTTCCCCATAAAATTCAATTTTCATATTTTTCTCTCTCTCTCTCTCTATCAAGTACATGTATTAATAGAAAAACACAGGATATTGGGTATCCATCCATGACGCAAAATCAATACATGTACTTCACAAAAAAAAAAAACACACACTCAAAAAGCAAAGGAACAGCGCTTGTATTGCTGTTCTTCATCTCAAAGTCAAGTAGTATCATGGCTGTCATGATGGCATTAAAAAAAGGTTATTTATTTAGATATGTCCTAATCCTAACATCTGATAATTATCAAGGAATATATATCTTACTACTTTGATATAGTTGTATTGCCATTCGATTTTATTATTTATAGTAGGCCCCAAGTTAAAATCGGCTCTACACGTTTGGATGTACGCTGGATTACTATATATAACAATCGATTTTGAATGCGCCTGCGCAATGCGAATATTGAAAGTACAATACAATAAAAGTTGCAGGAGTTTTGTCACAGCAAGTGTCCTTTAAGGGTATAAAACTGTATAGAAAATTAATTAACTCTATTTCTTGAATAACACACAGCATTACACTGGAACTATTTGAATATTAAATATTGGTGTTGGTGTTCTAGATGGATGGTGCCTACGCATGCCAATACGAATTTACAGTATAATTTGTGTTCCAGAAAATTGTATTTAATTAAAATTTATATTTGTGGCATTTTACATTAGAACACCGTCATTTGTATTAAATTAAGCCTTTAAACTGAATTAGTATATTCAATATTTATAATTTATCCGGTTGTGTCCGTGTGTCCGGCTACAAAATGCATGTCAACTATTTTTTTGCACCGGAACCTTGCCACTAATGACAATCTGAGTAGATGTACATTTTATATCACAGTATAATATCGGCAACAGACGAAGAAATAGCATAATTTCATTGTAAACGATTAAAACTGTTAAAGTCTGTTTTCAGTCGAAGTCCGAGTCACAGTGGCATAACCATTCCGTGAGAGGGGGGGGAGTTGTAAGTCGAAGTTGACGTCACTATGGTACCAGATGTAACGGAACTGTGGAGAAACAATCCACTATGTTGATCATGCAGAGAGGAAGTCAATTTAATAAATCGTCTAATGGAAAAACGGGGAGAGGATCTGAAAAATCGGTCTACACTGCAGTGTAAGAGGAAGAATCAAATGTTAACACTGCCGAAGGAGCCGTTAGAGTGATTACACCCAGACAGACAGGTTATTACAGAACAAAGACAATTGCATATTGAAAACGGCTCTTTTTAGAGTCTCAAAATCATTTCAAAAAGAGTCTGACTATTGTTGATATAATAACTTAAAATCACGAAGGAAGGAGTGTTTTTTTTTTTCTTTCATTTTCCTCTTCGTTTAGTTTTCGCTTATTTGAATTTGTCTCCAGAAAATTAGGAAGACTTAGTTCTGATTTGGTTGCTTGCAGTAACTTATTCTTTTTTCTTGCAAACAATGTTTAATAACATAATAATCTAATACATGTATGTAAAATTCAATTACAATATTATAATTTACATTTTCATACAACAAATTGTCCAACACATCTTTATTTATAAATGAACATAAACTAATCCATATTCATAAATATGGCAATAAACGGCAAAGGGTACATTGTAGTTACAGTAAGCACCTTCGATGAACTGACAGCTGAACAATTCTTTTTATAGTGTAACGGAACCCCACCCTTTAAACCGCCAAAGGATTTCAAGTGCATACATATCCCACATATCTAAGTCCAAATTACAAGAACCCATTTTACAACTTCTCTAACCAGTTTTAAACATTTAAATCATAACTATATCATACATAGGGGAAATTCCTAAATCAAACGAAAAGAAATATATCTAAGACACAGAATTTACAAGTACATTTTTATATATTGACCAAAAACGAATAATGTTTTCATTATGACAGCTTTTATTAAATAATAAGCAATTGAAATAAACAATTTTTAGTTGTAGAAAGAGTTTCAATATCATTGCATCAATTTTGCAAAAAGTATTTTATATATCTTAAAATCAATTATTGATGTAAAATATGGGAAAGTTTTGACTTCACTACCTAACTGGAAATAATTATTTTCATAAAAACTACAAATTTCAGGTTATTCAGATCATCTGTCTTTTAGTCCCCTAACAAAGTCTGGATTCAACGTGGTCAGATTTATCAGGAACAGATTCACCCTCAATTTGGCCATTAATTCTGTAGTCTTCTTTTTCTCTTCCTTTTCTCTTCTTAGCCTCTCTGCTTTCAACTGTTCTATTGTTCTATTAGAGGATGTAGTCTGAGGTCTGTCTTTATCTTTACTTTTGTGCTTATGTTTCTTCTTTTCCTTGTGTTTACTGATGATGCTTATGCTTATGCTGAAAAAAAATATTGCACAATTATACAATATTTATGTAGTTAGTTTTCAGCAGAGACATATATACACTGTGTATATATGTCTCTGTTTTCAGTAAGAGCTAAATCAACATGTTTTTAAAGAAGTTGGTTTATTTTATTACGTTGGTGGTTTTATTTAAATTTTTCAATCAGTTCAAACATCATAACCAAATAACTGAATTCGTAATGATTTTCAATATCTTTATATCTACAGCGCTGGGCTTTTTATTTTTATTTCCACGGTGTTCAACTGTAGCCTGGCATCCTGACCCAACCTAATACTTCGTCGATCTACTGTCGATCAGTGAGCCAGGATGATCCAGGATCCCAGAGGCTCTATTAAACGGAACGGATACGAAGTCAATGCCGGAAAAAAAAATTCTGTGTCGTTTATTTTTTAAGCGTTTACCGGACAAAGACGCGCACTTTGCCTTATTCAAAACGTTTATTTGATACGCGTGTTGCATTGGATACAGAACTATAAACATTATTTAGAAGTCACAAATATATATACACAAATTGCATTATAACAAAGGTCTCCAAAATGGATGGCGATTTTGAACTTGAAAAAATACGCCAGGAAATCCAGCAAGAAAAGCAAATGAAGTAAGAAAAAATGTTTCGATGACAATATTAAGGTTCATCATAACAAATGGACAAAAATGGCTGTATTTACACCTCAAAAACTACTCTGTGTACAGACTAACCTGTGCAGTTTGGAAAGTTTTAAGGCCTGGCATCCTCTAGATATATAAAATTTAAATGCATTTTGTGTTTCAGAAAGATAAAATCTTTTTGGATTTTGATGGGCATTTTTTTCCTTCCTGCTGTTGGTGTAAAAATAAACACAAAGCCTCCAACTATCGACCAGTCTCATTGACTTCGATCTGCTGCAAACTATTGGAACATATTGTTCACAGCACCATCATGGATCACTTTGACCACCACCAGATCCTATGTGACCATCAACACGGTTTCAGAGCAAAAAGATCTTGCGAAACCCAACTCCTGATAACACTAGATGAAATTGGCAAGAATTTGGACCAAGGAGAACAGACAGACATCATCCTGCTTGATTTCTCCAAAGCTTTTGACAAAGTGCCCCACAAGAGACTACTCCAAAAAATGAACCACTACCGAATACAAGGAGTAACACTCAAGTGGATACAAGACTTCCTAAGCAAGAGAACACAATCTGTACTGCTTGAAGGGCATAAATCCGACCCCCTAGACGTCATCTCAGGGGTGCCACAGGGGACAGTCATTGGACCACTCTTATTCCTGGCTTATATAAACGACCTGCCACAATCAACAACTTCTGAGGCAAGGTTATTTGCAGACGATTGCCTAGTTTATAGAAAAATAAAGAACAGAAAGGATAGCCAGACACTACAAGACGACCTCAACAAACTCCCAAGAGTGGGGGTCACGATGGCAGATGAATTTCCACCCCGAGAAGTGCATCGTGATACGGATAACCAACAAAAGAAACCCACTGATAAGGAACTACCAACTACATGGTCACACCCTAGATGCAGTTGAGCATGGGAAATACCTGGGAGTCACCATAAATCACGACCTACAATGGAAGACACATATCAACCAGACGGTAGGCAAAGCATCAAGGACACTAGGCTTCCTGAGAAGGAACCTAGGGCGGTGTAAACCAGAAGTCAAAGCCAATGCCTACATCACCATGGTTAGACCAACTCTTGAATACGCTTCCTCTGTATGGGACCCCTACCAACAAAACCTTGAAAAAGATCTAGAACAAGTGCAGAGGAGGGCAGCCAGGTTCGTGTTCAATGAATACCAAGACGTATCCCCAGGTTGTGTCAGCTCTTTAATGGAGAGACTAAGATGGGAGCCTCTTAAAGATCGCCGCTGCAAAGACCACCTCACCATGGCCTACAAGATACACAATAGATTGGTAGACATTGACCCATCAAACTACTACAAACCTGGAGATTCACGGACCAGAGGAGGTCACCGCATACACCAACAGCGTACTCTAAAAGACCAGTACAGGTACTCCTTCTTCCCAAGATCAACCAGGGAATGGAACACACTACCGGAAAAAGCCACAACATAAGCTACACTCGAAGAGTTCAAGGCCAACCTTACCATCCTGCCAGAGGCCTTGACAGGAGCTTCTCACACCTAGAACTCCTTAGATCCCAGATGTATATAGTTTTAATTTGTAAATAATAATTACTGTAAATAGTTACTGCTGGTTTTGATAAAGGAGGAGGAAAGGCCTCATGATTATACGAGCAAGAGTCATTATACACTCAAGAAGAGTCTGACTCTGTATTGAAAGAAGAAGAAGAAACAAACACCTAAATTACATTTTGATACTGTCCACTCATTTACACCCTTTAACTCACCTATTGTTGTGTAGATCTCTATTGTCCTTCCATTGTCCATGCCAATCAAGGACAATCGATTCAATGCAATACAGTTGTTCCCTGAGAGGGAGCATCTCAAAGATTTACCCAACTTAGTTTATTTTTACACCTTCTGCAGGAACGAAAAAAAAATGCCCATCGAAATCCAAAAAAGATTTTATCTTTTTGAAACACAAAATGCATTTAACTTTTACACATCTAGTGGATGCCAGGCCTTAAAAGTTTCAAACCTGTACAGGTAAGTCTGTACACAGAGTAGTTTTTGAGGTGTAAATACAGCCATATTTGTCCATTTGTTATGATGAACCTTAAAGCATTTGTTCAAACGGCATATTCTCGAACATAAAGTAATGTCCCCATGAAATATTATCCATCGGACCAAGGATTTGTATAGTATCTTACTATACAAATCCTTGGTCGGACAAAATTTTATATAAAATATTGTCCGCAGGCATTATGAAACACTGTCCAGGACAATAATTTTTTATGAAATAATGTCCTTGTCTATGAAATTTTGTCACCTCTTTCTGGAAAATATTTCTTAATCTAATTCAGTCTTCCCTGAGAAATCCTTTGACATGAAATTATGAGCGTCTGGAATTTTTAAAATATTTTTCATGAAAAGTATTTGTGTATAACCATAAATTGCTGCACAAATTAATTATAATTATACAGGGTTGTTTGAGGGTAGAAATGCCCTTTACCGTCAGGCGTCAAACGGTCATTTTCGGCTATTGTTAGCGTCAAATTGGTTGAAATTTTACTGTGAATCGTCAGAGGTCTCAAATAATTACCGTTACCGTTATTTTGGGAAAAAAATTAACGTGATTCGTCAAAATCAGTTGATTTTTTTATCGTCTTAAAGAAAGTGTACATTTTATCGTCATGCACCAAAAATTACCGTTAAGATTTTTTACCGTTATTCGTCATGAAGGTATCCCCATTACGACCCTCTTGTTTGTTATTATCAATCAAATAAAACACTTTTATGCTATCATTATCTTAAATTTTAAATGTTTATAAATATATAAACTTCCTTTCCAGGAAGACAAAATTTCATGACAATCCATCTATGAAATATTGTCTCAATATACACAATATACAAATACAATACAAACATGACAAATACAAATATTTTATTGGCACAAACACAATTACAATAATTGGCAAAGACCCATATTTCAGTACATTATTACAATGAATACAGCATAATGAAATAATATGTTATAATTAAGAAGATAAAATCTCATTTCTATAATCCAGACATTTACGTATAAAAATTATAAGAACTAGTCACTTTCAGGACTTTAAAAGAATTGCTATTAATGCAACATTTCATATTTACCTGATTCTCACTATAACTTGTGAGAAGTATATTTAATATAATAGTTTTAAAGTTTATTCTGTAGTTAGAATATTTTTCACAATTCAGTAGAAAGTAATTTTCATCTTCTACCTCACCCGATTTACATACATTGCAGACTCGTTCATTGGTGGGTAAACCTAAATATCGCCCTTTTTCTATAGCAAGATTGTGTGCACTCAATCTTATTTTACACAGAGATGACCTTTCTGATTTGTGCCTTAGAACAATTAAATCAACATAAGTACTACACTGATTTGAATTTAAAATTTTAATTTGGATGAATTGTAATTTTTATACGACCGCCAAAAATTTTTTTGTTTATGTTTAAAAAATTTAATACAAAAAAATGAGATTTTTGACAACAATGGTAGCCTGCCAAGTTCAACTCTACAAGCAGCATTAATTGCTTTGCAATGAACACCTAAAATTTCTTTTATGAACTTCATATGGAATTTTTCCAAAATGGAAATTTTGTCTCCTGAATTATCCAAAACGCCCCAAAACTCACTACAATACAGCAAGATCGGACTTACTAATGAATCAATCAAATAATTTTTCTAAAAGTTTACAAGGATTATCCAATCCAATTGTTTTCTTAATCTTAAAACATGCTTTTCTAGCTTTTTCCATAAGTAAGGATACAGCTAAATTAAAGTTGCTATTACACTTCAACATTATTCCCATGTAACAGTATTTTGAGACGGTTTGTATGACATTATCATTATAAATAAACTCATTTAAATGTTTTTTACCATTAGAATTAAATACTAATACCTTTGATTTTTGAACATTAAAATGTAGTTTCCAATTCGAGCAATAAGATAAGATAAGATAAGATAATTTTATTAACCAATCATGGTGCCCAAAATTTGAGCTATACAATCAAATGAATTACAAAATAAAGCACAGTAAATGATTAGAATGATAAAAGTACATTTAAACTAAAAACATGAATACACAGTCAAACAAAGTAGCATGATTATAAACCATGTTATTGATAAAACATAAAGTTATTTTGGAAGCCACTGTGACCTGGAGAAATTCCATAATTTTATAGTCCTAGGTCTATGGGAGACAACAACTGATCCATTTTATTATATATTTTTTTCTTTCTATATTTTTTTTCAAACTACATTGATATTTTCTAAGAGTTTCTTTCATTCTTCAAACAGTGTTCTCCCCAGGATTTTTGGATAGCACCAGGGTAACGCGTGTGGACTTCTTGGTGAAATATTTCATGCAATCAGTTGTGTTGCGTCACATCGCTTAGCTCTAGTTACTTATGATTCATAATAAAATATCCATGTGAATTTAAAGTAATTAAATCTTTTATAAAATCCAAAATCAATAAAAATAAAATATCATTCAAAAGAGAACAAAAATGTTCAATTTAAAAACTTTCTAGTTTATAGAAAAAAAGTTGTTATATGTGAAAGGATTCCTGTCATAAGAAGATATAAAATTAACAAGAACAATTAAAAATATTGTTTTATTATTTGAACCAGTTTCTATCTTAGATTTTCAGTAAAAAGAAATTTTTCATAAATTTTAGAACATTTTGCCATAGATTTCATGTAAATAATAACCTTTCTCGTCTTTGGTGATAATCAAACATAGATACAGACTTAATACTGCCCTAAAATCTAAATCTTTATTTGTCATGAACCATTTAAAAAAGAATTCCTAAATCTATAAATTTATCTTTGGTCTATAGATCTATAAGTAACCATATCCAATGTCAACAACTAAGTCTCCCTATTTTCCCGCCTAAATGACAGGAAGTAGATATAAATAGATTTAACATGTGCTTATGGATAAAATTTGCAAGATTA